TACTCCAGTCAACACTTAAAGTTCAATGTTACATATACCATTTTTAAGTAGCTTCTAGGCTTTTTTGATGCTTTTCTTATTCAAGTGGTTTTATAAGCAAGGTCTGCAAGCAAATTTGAGCTGAAAAGAATTTCAGCTATCAAAGAGAATTAATGTTGTTCTCTGTTTAATTTGAATTAATGTTGTTCTCTGTTTAATTTGTAAATTTAATTTGTTTAAATAGAGTAGTTTTAATAAAAATGTTTGTTTGTTCTTGGTTTTTTACTTATTTGTTTTCAGATTCTTAAGAACTAGGCAACTTAGTAAAGCAAGATTTATTTTGTTTTTTAGTGCAATTGGAAAGAGCTAAAGTGCTTTTTAGTCACTTCAAATCATTGTTTCTTTTTTTAAATAGAAGGATTAATAATAAAAAATTTTAGACAGTCGAACTGTTACTGATTTAAGTAAGTTTAATGTTTTGTTTTATTTTATATTAGATATATATATTTTATGTATTTAACATGGAAAACTGACTGTAATTTTTGACAGGTAAGTTTATATACATAAATGTGCGTATATATCAGAATATTTTATATTTCTCTGAATCTATATAAATATTATCTCATAGAAAAAATTAAAAAGAATAGAAAAAATTTGAATATATATACATACATATATATATATTACTTTAGACTAACATTGCTTCATTTTTTATACAAGATTCTGCATTTATTATTTTTGTGCATTAAGATTGTGCCTGAAGGTAAAAATAACTTTGCATTGTGTTCTAAATTCTTTGCAAAATTAAAATAATTTCAAAAATTTTGTTTTATATTTTTCAGTTGTAAAAATATAAAATGTTCATTTATTCAGTTGTAACAGTAGTATAATCACTGGTAATATATTTAATGATAACAGATGTATGATATTATGCTCGAAGAAGTTATTAGTGTAAATGGTTATAGGTGACTTGAAATTGTTGTCATATGAAAGAAATAGATCTAGGTGTGATAAAATTAATTGTCATTGAAATATATGAAATTTTGCTTGATAAACAGAAAACTTTTTTGCCAGAATTCAGTGTCAAGCGGTGTTGATGTCTATTATTTGATTCTACATTAGACACTTTAAAATATGAATTTTAAACTATGAATTTTACTATTTTTAATATTTTAATTTTAAAGTATGAATTTTACTATTTTTAATACTTTAATTTTTAAGTATAAATTTTACTATTTATAGAAACAAGTAATAACAGTTTCAATTTTGAATGATTTTTTTTATTTTTTTATTTGTTATCTTAAACATAATTGTGTTCATTTTTTTTAGTTGTCTTTGTCATCACTTGATTATTTTGCTTACTGTTGAAACATGGTTTTAATTTTGTAAATTTAATATGATGTGAAATTTACAATATCAATCATTTGTCAACAGTTAAAGAGAAGCTGAAACTTAATTAATAAATGCTGGAAGGTAACTTTTATTTAAGGTAAAAATAATTTTGTTTATTGGTAGCATAATAAAACCAGTTACTGTTACTTGTACTTTTTCTACTGTGCTGTTTTCAAAACACTTCCTATCTCTCTTTTAGATGAGACTTAAATAAGAATTAGTATAGAGAGAGAATAGATTAAACTCATGTAATTACTGAGCTCTTGCCTATTTTTTAATACTGCGATTGATAATTTGCTATTTAAAGATATAATTCTTTAAATTGTCCCTTGGTTGTTATTGGTTATTGTAATAAATAAAATCTTTTTTGTTTCAAGTATTTTCTTTTACGGATCGTCTATATATTACGTAACGCGAAATTAAAAACATAGACAAAAGAAATATGTAACAAAATGTAACAAATAATGTAAAAAAATGTAACATAAATATTGTGGTATTTTTAATGTTCTTAATTTATAGTCTTGAGATTTTCATTTCGAAAATTTACTGTTAAAGGTTGTGAGCACATTTTGTATGTATAACTTTATTTATCATTATTTATTTTTTTTCATAGTTTTTGATAAACTATATATCATTCAATAGTTGTAAAATGTGTTTATATGTGTTATAAAGTCATATTTGTTTATAGTTGTATATATATTTAAACTATAAAAGCCAAGACAACAATTTATATCTTAGTTTGATTTTTTTTAGTATTGTTAATGCTTTTGTACTTCGAAACAGATTTTATAGTTACATTTTCGATAAATCTTTAACTGCAATTTCAAAAGAGGTTACTATAAATAGGTAAATCAATTTTCGGTAATTGGGTAGTGGTTTTTGTTTTTTTTCTTCTTTGTAATTATGATATCATAATTTCATTACTTTTTTTTTTTAGAATTACGTTATGACGCATTTATAAGATTTATAAAATAAAAAAACCTGATTTCTTTTTATTGTAAATTTTTGTTAATTAAAAGGATATAAATATATACTATTAGTTAACTTTATATTTTATCTATTTTATGCCTAATAATTTGTTGTACGTATTTTAAGGGGATCTTTATAAATGGGGGGTCGTAACTAAAAACCTTTAAAAACATGGAGAATATTGTAGTCTTGCGCATTAATATCGAGTTACTTAAGTTTTATTTATTTGTTTAACTAATTAGTTAGCTTAGTCTGTATTTGCAACACTTTTGAGGAAATAAGAAAACATTCTTATATATGTAGATCATTGTTTTATATTTTATTATTTTATTTTATTCACCTGGTCACCATTAAAGCAAAAAGAGGGAAGGAACCTCTTTATTAGAGTCAAAATATTTGAGAAAATTAAATTTCGAGTTACAAAAGGAATTTTTAGTAAATGGTGGCAAAATACCGTTAACTAAAAATTAATTAAAAAAAGGAATTTTTAAAGAGGCCAAACAAATAATATAGAAATGGTCTGTGTTGAACAGACTTAACAAGACCCGGGTCAGCTTGGTTTACAAATTTTCATGTCTACTTATCTGTTATAATTTTTATTTTAGGTTTGTCATATGATGCATTAATGCATTAAGTTTACATATTTTTTCAAATTTATTATACCCATGTTTGATCGTAAATTAAATTTTTTTTGTTTGAAACGTATTTGTACTCAGTTGCTTAGTTATTTATAATAAACTTTGTTATTTTTAATAAATTTATTTAAATGTGTGCATTAAACATTTTTAAGTTAACAATTTTCTTTTCTAAAGATAAATTAATCAAGGGGATACCAAAAAATTGATAACTCCTGTATAATATAAATTATTCTTTTTAACTTTATTTTAATCTTAATGGTTCGTGTTATAAAAATTATCACAAGGATTTCGTTGATACTTTCGTCAATTTAAAGCATGACAAAGTGTTATTATTTTGTGTCAGTAACTAAAAACGTATTGTGTTAAACTTAGGAAGGTCGATGAAAATGGTTTTGCCTTACACTGTTATGACATATGCCATTTGTAAATTACTCAATTAATGTTAAGTAGTAATTGTAAATGTTAAGTAGTAGTTGGTAAATTATTTTACCTCCTCATACTTTTTAACTTAATTTTACAGATGGATTAATTTTTTCAAGCTGAAGGCGAACTTTTAAAACTTTTATAAGTTATAAAACTTTTACAAGTTTTAAAACTTTTATAAGTTATAAAATTTTTATAAGTTTTAAAATGCAAACTAACATTACTTCACTTTAAGGAAATTAAGAAAAAAACAAAAAACATGCTATTAAAAAAAGCAATTGTCGTTTAAGCATGGTTTTTTTTTAACGTAATTGCAAACGGAGTCAGTTTAAATAAAATTTTGAATGCATTTTTAAACGCATGCAAAAACCATGCTCAAACTAATTACTTTCTTCGTTCCATTGAAGAAAGTAGCTTTAGCGTGGTTCCTTTTAAAGTCTTTGAAAATGGGTTAAAAATTTTCGTAATTAATTGTTTTTTGTGTTTTTTTTTTAATAAATAAAAAACAATCAATAGTTAATTGTTTGGAAAAAAAAATTGCTATAGTAACGCGCTCATTTTAAAATATTTTAGGCCAACGTTTGCATTAGGAAGAGTAAAGGAACGTGACATTCGTTTTTCTGTCTTTTTTTGTGAAGACGTTCGCACGTTCGTTGATTTTTCGCGCCCTGATACATATATATATATATATATATATATATATATATATATATATATATATATATATATATATATATATATATATATATATATATATATATACATATATATATATATATACATATATATATATATATACATACATATATATATATATATATATATATATATATATATATATATATATATATATATATATATATATATATATACATAGATATATATATATACATAGATATATATATATATATATACATATACATATAGATATATACATATATATATACATATATATATATATATATAAAATTTTTGTTCATTTTTTGAAAATATTATATTTATATTAATTGTTTAAAAATAGTTTTTCTTTTCTTTATTGCCTTATATTGCAATATAAATTGAAATTTTAGGAAAGTCCTTTTTTACATTTTAATTTTGGCGTAAAGCGACTAGCTTAAATATCTTAAATAAGAATAATTAAATATTAAAAATCTATTACATAATTATATATTATATAAATATTTGATAATAAAAAATATTCAAGAATTCAAAATAATGCAAAAACAACGAACGGTTCGATGAAGAACTATAACGGGTTCTTTAAAGTACCTTATTTAAAGGTTCTTCCGAAGAACCCTTTTAAATGGTTCTTTGAAGAACCTCTACGGGTGCTCCACAAGGTTCTTTGAAGAACCATTCGGCTTAAGAGTGTGTATATATACATATATATATATATATATATATATATATATATATATATATATATATATATATATATATATATATATATATATATATATATATATATATATATAGATATATTTATATAGTAAATATTATATATATATATGTATATATATATATATATATATATATATATATATATATATATATTTATATAGTAAATGTTTAATATATTTAGCAAAATAAGTAGCAGACCTTTAAAATTGTTGTATTGTTACAGATATTAGCAGAACTAGAATTATTTATAAAAGACCAAAACTTATCGATCAAATCTTGAAAACTATTTAATGAATCAGCACGCTCCCAAGTTGGTGTCCATTTAACCTGATAATATTCAACACCATTCTAAAATACAAAATCAATATTTTATTAGAATTAGCAACAAAATAAATATGTCCATGAAATTAAATTAATCTTATAATTCGGAATAAATATAGGTGAGGCTGATTAGATGTGCTGAAGACAAAGTATAATAGAGAAAAATAACTTTTAATATAACTTCTCCATTTGAATTGTTGGAAAGAGTAGGAGGAACTTGCAAATGTAAAATGATAGTATGGTAAGATGTTAAACTTGTGGCACATCAAAACAAAAATATACAGCCCTGATTTTCAAACCAGGTTCTGATTGGGATCTGATTGTAAAAAATAGCATTGAATTATTTATTCTGTCATAAGAAAAAATTCATATAACATAAATAATTCATTTTCTTAAATAAGAAAAGGTTATATGCAAATGTATGCAAACCACACAGGTCTGGAGCCATTGACTTCAAAGTAAAACAAAACAAAAATAGGAAATAAAATTTAGACTTTTGTTTTTCTGTTTACACAAATATATAATTTATGCATAATTATATATATATATATATATATATATATATATATATATATATATATATATATATATATATATATATATTGTTCGAGTCATCGGACTGATGTTGGACTGGTTGTATTAATAGATTTACATCCTATAGTAGGGTGAGATCTTTTGTTGAAACTGTATTAATTTTTCCATTTTGAAATTTGACACGTGTTAAGTGGAGGGATAGTGTTTCTAATAGTTAAACTCTGTCAACAAGTGTTGACAGAGTTCAACTATTTCTAATGTTTCTAATAGTTAGAAACACTATATATTCTGTAAATCTCCTTTTAATTGTATCTGATGTCTGTATAAAATTGTGGAATCCAGCACTGTTAGGAAGTTTGGTAGAACTGTACCTATTATTGATGAATGCTGAAAGTTCATTATCCTCTGGTGGGGTGTTTTGTTAGTAGCAGTACAAAGAAGTCCTCTTATAGAGAATAGAGCCATTTGCAAAGCTACCTCCCATCTAATCTTTTCCCAGACTTAATGTTTTTAGGGCCAGACTAACAGCTTTAAGTATTGTTTTATTCATTCATTCACATTGATGGTTGCCTCGTGGGTGATATGGAGTTTTGATAACACCATTCCTTTTTAGGAATACTTTAAGTTTTATATTTTCAAACCGTGATCTGATCTGTATGCATAGATGATAGATAGTGCACCAAATTATGAAAAAAAAACTAAGAAGGTGATTATAATAATCAGATCCCTTTTCATCAATATCATCTCTTGATTCCACTAGTTGCGTTCTACCAGATATAGCCATCAAACAGGTTGATGCATTGCTTGACATTCCTATCACTCCAGCTTCTGTATCAAAAGTGATTTCTTGCTTAGACTCTTCTACAGCTTGTGGTTCAGATAACATACCTATTATAGTCTTGCAGAAGTGTCCTCCGAAGCTGTCATCTATACTTTCAAAATTATTTAAAAAGTACTTATCAAAGTTGTTTTCCGGCATGCTGGAAAGCAGTATCTGCTATCCCTATTTTCAAAAACTCTGAAGAACGATCTGACTCGTCTAACTACCATCCCATTAATCTTCTTCCTATCAAAAGCAAGGTTTTTGAATATTTGATAAACAAACACTTAATCTCTTATCTTGAATCTAATACAAGCCTTCCCAGAAAAGGCATGCGGTTTTTCATCTCGTACAACCACGAAAACATTTTCAAGTTAGAGAACATTATCATGGCCGTTTGTGCAAGTTATATTATATGCGGTACTGAAAACTGTTTTAAATTTAATAACTAAATAAGAAATTATAAGTAAACTTAAATAGAAAACAATAATAACAGTTTAAATAATTTGTGTGTTAATTTTATTTTTGTTTTTTCTTAGTGGTTATTATTATCGGCAACAAAATTCATTAAGTCAAAGCAAAAAAACGATTTTAGGCGTTAAAAAGGATGACTTTCCCATATTTTATGTGTTTTTTCTTTTAAAGGAAAGAGAAAATATGTATCGTCATCTGTTTTTAAAATATATTTGTATAATTATAATGTAACAAGTTTATATCAAGAGTTAAATTTTACGATTGCGATTTGCAAACTCTGGTAAAATATTAGGTCTTTAAAATTTTAGTTCATGCAAAGCTGTGTACTTTGTTTATAAGGAGCAAATTATTAAAAGTTTGCTAGCGAGAAAGTTACAAAAAGCAAAACAAAAACAATAAACTTACGACTACAAAAGTAATAACACTTTAGTCACTAACTGCATTACAAAACTAATAAAACTATAATAGTGTTATTACATTTATAAAGCACTTATTACTTTTAAAGTTCATTCTTTGTTCAAACAACATTATTAATTCCAAACATTTATTAAAGTAAAAAAGCATCTAGAAAAAATAAAGCGGATATTTAAATATTATTAAAAATTTCAGAAACTTTCACATATCACTTAAACAACGTTATAAAAAAGTACTTTATAAAAAGTATAGCATTATGAAAAACGTTACGTAAAAAGATGCGTTAATTTTAAAATCAATCAGTAAAAAATTTTTATTGGTTAATTTTATAATTAACGCACATTTTTACGGTCCATTAGTAACGTTTTTCATAATGCTAAACTTTTAATACGATATGTTTTCCTAAAGTTGTTTGTCATGTTTTTATAAGTTACTTTAGTTTTAATATTATTTGAATATCCACTTTATTCTTCTAGATATTTTTCTACCTCAAATAAAATTTGGGTATATTAATTGAACAAAGAATTTTTCTTGCTTGAACAAAGAATGAATTTTAAAAGTTATAAGTGCATTATAAAAGTAATAACACTATTATACTATACAAATAAATAATATTAATAGTAATAATATTATATTATACAAAGAATTTTTTTTGCTTGAACAAAGAATGAACTTTAAAAGTTATAAGTGCATTATAAAAGTAATAACACTATTATAATAAATTATAAAAGTATTAACATATTAGTGTTATTACTTTTGTAATCGTAAGTTTTTTGTTTCATTTTTTATTTTTTAGCTAACAAATTCAAGTTGATTCTCCCCTTAAAAACAAGGAACACAGTTTTGTATAAACTAAAATTTTGAATACTAGATATTTTTCCAGATTTTTTGTTTTGCATTCGCTTAATTCAACCCTTGTTGTTACACTAAAATTATACAAATAAATTTTACAAACACATTGCAATTTGTATTTTTGCTATCCTTTTAAAAAAAATTAAGAAAAGGAAAATCATTCTTTTTATTGTAGACTTCAAACTGTGTTTTTTTTTTGCTTCCTTTTATCTAATTTTGTTGCTGAATGTAACTCTAAAGAAACAAAAATAAAAACAGTGCGCAAATTATTTAAATTAATAATTTGTTTTTTATTTTTTTCTATTTTAATCTCTTTTTATTTTGTTAGTTTTGTTTTTTTTTGTTTTTGAAACTTTTTCAGCATTATTATAAAACTTGCAAACAGTCGTGTTCACGTTTTCTAAAATAATATAATTGTGCGTGGTCATACGAGACAAAAAACCGCACGCCTTTCCCGGGAAGGCTTGTAATAACTTTCTGGTCATCAATATGGAGATCGATCTTCTTATTATACAGCTGATACAGTAATAACAGATAGATTTCATTGTGCATTAGATAGAGGTGGAGAGGTTAAGGCTATCGCTCTTGACATTTCTTAAGACTTTGATAAAGTTTGGCATGCTGTTCTTCTCCTTAAGTTTTCTTCTTAAGGTGTATCAAGTAAAATCTTTAAGATTATTGAGTCCTTCTATTCCATTTGTAGTATAAAAGTTGTCCTCGATGGACAGCACTCTTCTTCTTCTTATTCTGTAACCTCAGGGGTTATTAATGGGTTCAATCCTTGGCCCTAAACTCGTTTTAATTTACATTAACAATCTTCCAGATATTCTCATACCGAAAGTGGCATTGTTCACTGATGACATAAAGAAGCTAACACTCTCTGAGTGCTTGGAGGGGACATTTGAGCTTGAAAAGGATCTCACTTCTGCTACAGCATGAAGCTCACAGTGGCCATATCTAAGGCGGATCTTCCAATGATGCCCTTTCTCTTTTAGATAAGGTGCAAAAACGCATTGTAAATACAGTTGGACCTGCTCTTGCAGCTAACCTCTAATCATTATCACATCGTCATAATATTGTTTCTCTTTTTTTACTAATACTATAATAGGCACTGCTCTAAAGAGCATTCTTGTGTGACTCGTCTCATCCTTTTTCTATGACTTTCCTAATTGCTACGAAAACTCTAATTTATCTAGTTTTTTTCTTCAAAAATCAGTTCGTTGGAATTCGCTTTCTTTATCTCGCTTTCCTGATTTATATAATTTGCAATTATTTAAGTAGTTTGTCAATCGTTATCTCGCTCTACAAACTTCATTTTTTCTCTTCCAGCAACTTCCAACTCTTTAAGTGGTTGCTTGCGACCTTGTTGGAAGCAAAGATGTAAAAAATATATATATCCTTTTATCGTAGTCGAAAGAAACTTTTAATGTAAAAAAAGTCTCTTTCGACTACAATTTTATTACTTTGACAATTAAGCTACATTTTATTGTCACCGAAATATCAAAGGAATCAAATTAATGCAGATGTACATTAAATTTTATTGTTTTTAAAAAAAAACCGCAATAATAATGAGTAGTAAGTTTTTTTAAATTAATGGTGTTTTTGTTGTTGTTTTATTAAAATATATTTTTAAAACATGCCCAGAGTGTTGCTACATTAACTACCTTATAGCCTGACTCGCAATGGAGTGTTGGTACATGGACTATCTTATAGCCTGACTCGCAATGGAGTACTGCTACATCGACTGACAAATAGCCTGACTCGCAAGGGAGTGCTGCTACAT